GGTAATGTGACTGTATACTCGTCTATGTACATACATATATAGATTTAATCGGTTGAACTCTTAATTCAAGCAGAAATCTGGCCGATTGAAGAAGGAATTCAGTTACTTTTTTACTTTAAATACAGGAGAAATTGTTAAGCATATTGCCAGTTGATAAAGAATTAAAAACTTAAAAAACCGGAAGCTTACTAAAAGCATTCCCGAAAATTATGAGCAGCAAAGAAATATTTTTTTTATTCTTGCAGCTGTAATGGCTATTTGAACTGATTCTCTCGCAGTATTTTTCAAGTTACGGTTTGCAGTGTTGCCATTTTTCTTTTTCCCGTAAGAATGATTATAAATGATATTCGCTACCAAGTTTGCTCAAATTTGTAACAGAATGTCAATTTTATTGTGTTATCCGATTTTCTTCTATAATTTTTGTAATCGGCCCATCCCTAATATATTCCGCTAAGTTGCCAATTTTCAATGTATGAAATACCGTATTTGGTGCATTAATCTTTCAAATTCCTTCCTCTTTCTAAATAATACTAAAATTTTTCGGTGAGACTTTAACGACTACAATCCTCCTCTGCTGTGGTGTAAGTTACATACTGCTATGTTGCCAATTTTCCCATTGTTCATTTATTACACTATCAGCTTGAGTTTTTTTCTGACAAAAGCTTTCAAATCGCCTATAAATAATTTCGAATATACCGTAAATTTTTTCAGCAAATTTGTTTTAATTTACTACATTTGAAATAAAGTTTTCAACTTATTGATTATTTAAAGTTTTAGATTATATGCCTATACATTCATATGTATGTAATAGCAACTAATGACTTGTCGTTCTTTTTGCTATCAAAAATTATTCTAGCCTGGGAAAATAAGCAAATGCGCATACGAGCAACCAATTTTTAGTCGTAACATCACTAAAATGGCTTCATAACAAGTATTACAGATAATTGCATGATTAATTAAATAATTAAGCGAAGGCCAACAACAAATATGGTAAGCAACGTGAAATATATGACATATTGGAAGAGTAGTGAGTCTATGTTTATATATTCAAGCACATACATACCCTGTAGTCGAATAAACTGGTTCGTAACTACTGCGGAATCTGTTAGGCCACAAACTACTGTCTTTTTCACCACAGAATTGTTTTAAGTGATAACGACAGGCAGTTTTCAACCAAACCTTTACAGGTCTTAAACCGGCATAGGCACAAGGATACTAGTGCTAGAACAGTTTTCAGACAAGATCCTTGTTAGAAGCTTTAAAAAGAGTAAGTAAAACAAAACTACTAATAAATTACAAATATGGCATAAGAGGTTTTTGAACGGACTATTTTATGCAGTTATTTAGGAGTAGTTTAAGTTAACAAGCAGAGGATTTCTTCAATTAGGCAACACTTTTAGCGGAGTGTCTTTGTCTTTGTCGTTTCATAATTATAGACATTTTCAGAGATGCCGTACAGTGCGCACCGAAGACGCTTCTCTGTGAGACTGAGACATATTTTTACAGTTAATGGGAAGCGCTCCAGAGATGTGATTAATGACTTTTTGTGCCAGATCGGATTATCTGTATGTGTACGAACTTTGATGTTATCGAAGCGTTCTATCGTACAATAAAAAAAAAACACTGGGCTAATTTTGGAAGGTTGTGCGAAGGCACTTGACTACGCAGTTAAGCCTGTGACGATTGACGCTGACATACGGCCCTCATTGCTGCACAAAGGGGCCGAAAATTTTGCCTGTCGACTAGAGTTTTTTCCAGCCCTTCGCGGATAATTTCAAATCCTTATCCATAACATTTAATTATATGCATTTTATTTTTATTAATTTTTCTTGATGAATTATTAAAAAAAAAAAAAATATTAGGAAATAATAGTTCCAGTACTACTATTTTTCGGACTAGTGAAATATTATTCGGTAAATTCCAGTGGTAAACTAGTAACTTTTTACTGCAGGGTATGTATTACAAAACGATTGGATATATGTGTATATGTATTTCAATAATATTTATTTAATTTTTTCTATGCTCTTTTCAATATTTGTAAAGCAATATGCAAAGCCTTTAATATCTTAACTATGTCATTCGCGCATTTAGATAATTTATATGCAAGTGCATATATATTTTTATATAAAATCAAGATTATTAAACGTAATTTTTCGCAAACAAGTGATTAATTAAATAAATTGTATGCCACCGGGTGTCGGTGCGCAGCGCTGAGTTGGGGAAACGGGCGTTGATTTTTCAGTACAAAATGTCAAATTAACGAGCACAGCGACAAATCAATTGAGGGACATACATGCATACACATGTACTTGTAATGCACAATTATTTTGCACAAAAAATAAAAAATAAAATATTAAAATGTAACACAAAAATTTAAAAGGTAACAAAAAACTGCACTTTGCTTTAGGATTTCATTACTTCCATTCTTTTATTGGCAAAAATTGAAGCTCATGCTATATTTCCATGTACTCGTACATATGTATGAATGGGTAGCCTAACCAAAAATAATCACTTAAAAATAATCTTATTTGCTGACGTCATGGGAACGGCAGAAATTGTGGACAAAATTAAATATAAAAAAATTATGGGCTTGTATTTACAATAAGGAGATATTTTTTCATGCGACTATAAGAACAACCCTAATAAGCTGAAAGGTATATTTCATCCAACGGAACAAAATTAGCAGTCACAGAATTCGCAAGAAAAAATTAAAATAAAAGAATTATTTGTGTCCCAATTTCGTGTGACCGTTAAGCGAAATAACAATTAAAAAATGTTAAGCGAAATAACAAAAAGCGCAAGCAAACAAACAAACAGCAAATGAGACCCAAACATCGAACATAAGAAAACTACAGAAGCCAAGAAAACAAAAAAGAAAAAACCTCCAACAACAGCTGCCTTAGTATTAGTAGAATTGGTAAGCATTGAAGCCAAAAGTAACCGAAAATAACTGTAACTGTCAGTAATAAATAAAATTCGCATGTCCTCGAAACCAAGTGGTCAAAAAGCGCGCATATGCATATATGTATGTGTGCGATTTTGCAAGACAAATATTAATGTGCACGTTGGTACTTATATACATATACATATATATATATATCTAGATATATAGATATATATAAATTTGTATATGTATGCAGTTTGCTGGAGTGGGTGGCTGGCGGCGGGTGTTTTTGGCCAAGTCGCACAAAACTTTCGCACAAATCAGCGATGGCAACATTGCAGCAATAACGGCGCAAATGCAACTCGTTGTATAAAAATTAAAAAAAAAAAAAAAATTAAAATAAAATAAATGAACAATAAACATAATGTGAGCTAAAAAATAATTTAGACGAAAAGGTGCCAGAGCGCTCTGCACACTACAACAAGACACATACGTACATAGGTACATATTGATCGCGTAATGAGTAAGCCATGTTGGGAATTTGACAGTGACATATGAGCATGACACAATGGTCGCCGGCTGAATCAACAAAAACATAAAAAAATTGAACAAGAAAAAGAAGAAGCAGAAACTAAGGCAACGTAAAAAAAACATCTATATGTTAAGATAAATAAGTATATGGCGCATGTCCATAAGTGATAAGCGCCTAAGTCTGATTTTGGAAATATATATATAATATATTAATGAGAGTAACATAAATAATTAAGGATCGGTTTTTAAAAAATGGTACTCCAAGATGGTAGTTAGTTGATGGTGGCTGCGCCTTGGTCATATGCTGCTCGAGATATTGTCAAATTTCATCAAAAATTTTGAACTCCAATCCAAGAAAGGATCAATTGGATTCCCTGCGCTACACAGAAATGAAAGTTCCACACAACGTGGGAATCGGTGGCCAAATGTCTTGGCAGCCCTACTCTAGCATTTTTTTCCCACTACAGATCTTCAGAGCTCTTCACTTCCAAACTTTCCTAAGTTGACGAACAGGAAGAAATTCTCTCGTGGTTAAATAATTATAATAATGATAAAAACAATTAAATTCATTATTAGTAAAACTCTTTGCAATCCTCCACGGTGCCACACTTTCAATTATCATTCCAATTTCTAAAGCATTTTTGGTTCAAATTTTCCTATGTTTTCGTCGCCTGTCGCCACCGATCGACCCACCGACCAACACATTGACTTTGGTTCGCTATGTTTAACAGTGCAATTAACAAGATTTCACCGCAGCGGAATGTGTGCCAAGTCCAATATATTTAAAAGCGCGCATTAACAAATTTGTGGCATGGAACTCGCTCTAACTCGTTTCTGGCTAATTATAGACTACTCTTTCTTCCCCTTTTGCATCTACGAAATAATTGAAAGAATTTCGTTACCGATCACTTTTATGTGGCTGAAGAATTCTTTATACTTTCAATGTTGTTGTTGTTGCATTTTGCAAATTCAGCCGAACTGAGCTGCTGAGCTGCACTGATCTACCGTCTCGAATATTTTCCTCAAATTTTGTTTTGTGTTCGCATACCGCGACACACCATCGCACGAAATCAGGCCAAAGTCGCAGACAAGCGGCAAAGCGAAAGAAAGCAGGTAAAGAATTGTGGATCCGGATGGGCAGGCGGGATAAAGAAGACTGGCTGCGACTGTGACTTGAGAGTGCTGCGCGCTGTTTATTTTTGTTTTCAGCAAAGAGAATTTTTGCTGAGCTCCAAAGCAACGTGTCTGTCCAAAGATGAGTAGGCGGGGGCTTGGCTTGAGATGTTAATTCCAGTTAAATTAAGTGCTGCCCGTGTGAGGAAAGTTGCTGAGTATGGGAAACATGACAGTTTTAAACACAAATATCGTGCATACCACAAATTTTATACTGATAAATAGGTCAAATAATTTTTTTTAATTTTAATTTCAATTTTTTGAAAAAATTAAGACAATTAATTAAGATTGGCCAGGAACTTTTTCCTCACTCCTCTCGCGGCGAAGCTCTAACGCCCCTTATACTGGTGCGCTTCTCCAGAACTTCTTCAAGTTGCCACCCAAGCGGAAGTAATAAAAATCTGCCACTTACCGATTCAGTTTTGATGTTGAGTGCCACATGTGGCAACATTGTTGACTGCTCAGCCGTTGGCGAGGGAGAGCGCTGCTGTTGCAATACCACACTAGGTGATGCAGGATTCCTCATTAACAAATCTGTCGTATCACCCGTAACTCCAGCAGTTGGCGCCACGCTCAATACGCTACCCACGGTAGCGCCATTTATATTTGCTGCCGCAGAGCCACAACTGCCATTACTGACTTCCAAACCACCGCTTGGTGTTCCCGGCGCTGCTGCTGATAGTGCCGGCGATGTTGGCGATATGCCGCCGCGTACTGAAGACGCCACCGCTGATGTGGAGTACGGCGAGCCAGCTATGCTGCAAGGCGATTTATTGGCGTTCGAATTGGGTGCCACTGCTGCTGTCGTCGACGACGAGGCAGTCGAGGAGGAGGACGAAGTCGATGAAGTCATTGATGAATTGGAAGATGAGGATGATGACGATGATGATGAGGAGGAACCAACCACCGCAGTGACTGCGGTCAATGCGCCACCCACACGTATACCAGTGTTGGGTGTTGGCGTTATGCGTTGTTGCTGGTGATGTTGTTGGTGTAGCGCAGGTGTTGTCGGTCGACAGCCGTTCGGTGAGTATTGTGCGGTTGTTGCAGTTATGGTTGGCGGCGGTGTGCCGCCTGGACTGGGAGATGAGCCCACACCAGCTGTGGTCAAACTGACGGTAGCCGATATGCTGCCGCTCAAATGATGTACGCTGGCATCTCCGAAAGCGCTAGAGTTGGTGGTTGGTTCGCGTTTAATGACGATGCCACCACCGGCATTCGAGTTGGTGCTGGTACCCAGTGAGGCGGCGGTAATGGCGGCTTCGCATGGCAGGACAGTGCCGAGCATGGTCGGCGCGTTATCGGCTTTGCGGTTGCTTGACTGGCTATCGGTTTCCTCGCAGCCCTCAGCCATATCAGTGTGGCATTTTGGAGAAGCTAAAATTTAGAGGGGAAACGAAATGAATTAAAAGTGAGTTTATTCAAATCAAGGTGGGAGAAGTTGTAAAATGGATATTCATAGCCTTAAGAGATACTTATAATGCTAAGAAACCACATTTTCTAAAAAAGCTTACATTTATATAATATAAAACAGAAAGTTGCCACCTGTTGAGAACGTCAAGAGGGTAAAAGCGTTTTCTACCAGCGTTTACCGAAGAGTTTTGAGATATTTGTAAGCAAGTATCTCCTTTTGCCCCTGCGAATGTCGTGCTGTTTTCAATTTTGATTGTTATATAAAAGCGTAAATATGCTCTCTGAGACATGGCACAAAAGTACTATATATATATATATATATATATATATTCTGGTATGCGAAAATTATAAATCAGTACTTAAGATCAGTAACATCTCAACACTTTGCGACCATCGTCCCTTCCGTAAAACTCCACTGCTAAATTCATAAACTTTTTCTTCTCTAATTTCTTATTGATTTCAGAATTTCATCTGCCATTCACGCCCCTTGTGAATCTAGGAATTCGGTACTTGCTTTCCTTATCTTACATCTTTTCTGCTTCATTATTTGCATTTGCTTTGACTTTTCGTATACTTTCTTACCGTCAAGAACAGGAGCTGGAGCAGCAGCAAGGAATGCATTTCGGTTTGTTACATTTGCTACGAATTTCGTTTGTATTTTTACATAAATTAGAATTATATATATTTACATATCTGTATGTATGTGCCATAACATATACATATATGCATGTATATATGTATAAGCTTATATACTCCCACATGACAATCGCATTTGCACTACACTTTGAACTCATTCTTATACGTTTATTGTCTCACTTCTCTGGCCCTCTGCCCTGCCTTTCCACTCTCCACCGCACCCCTGTCAGGATAATTAATGAAATTAATGCCTGAGTGTGAGTTTAAGTGCACAAAATATTCGATAATGTTTGCATAAAATGTAAATTCTAAAATATGTGAACATTAAGCAAGGCAGCGACAGCGAGAGTGAGAGAGAGAGAGAGAAGGTGACCAACAGTTTTAGTGACGGTGAGTAGAAGGGCAGTAGGAACGAAAGGAGTGCTTAAATGTGTGCAGAATATTTAGAGCTGGTAAGCAAGTAATCGTTCGAGGCGATGGTATGGACAAATGCACTACTTCACACACATACAAACTCAGCTATAATAAATGTTTGTAGTATGTACAGTTAGCATTTGAAAGTTTTTGTGCGAAGGTGGCAAAGTTTGCAAAATATATTTGCATTCTGCATTTGTCGGATTCGACTCAGCTGGCAGACGGAGGCGATGAGGTTAGGTGAGGCAAAAATATCGTAATGAGACTGTGTCATGTTGCACGTACAAGCAAACATACTGGCATGCTTTTAGGGGCAAACAAATGTGCAAATCAGGTTCAATTTGGGTGTGTTCGGCTATTCGACCAAGGAGCGGCGCGCACACACGCACATATTTATACTTAGACGACCATAATATGGGTATTATATGTTTGTATGTATGAGCTCGTGAATAATGCATTCGCAAAGTAGTTGCAGGAAATTCTTTGCGAAATTTGTAAGATTTGTTGCATACATTTAGGTGTGGTGTTGAAAACGAACGTGGCGTGGGCAGGCATAGAAGGACCTAAATGGGGTAGTGGTAGGCAATCGCAAGTTTTATTTAATGTTAATATTAAAGCGTCAAAGTAAAAGATGCACAAATGGAGTAATAGAGATAGTGTGTACTTTATGAATTGTGGCAAGCTTGATAATTTTGCTGTTGAACACGAAATGCTTCTTAAAGTTATCTAAAGTGCAAAAAGAAAACTTAGGAAATATTGTACTCGTATTATTTTCTATTTAATATTTAATAAATATTTTTTGATGCAATATTTAATTAAGCTTATTTACATCTCTTTTTTGATAGTTAAAAATAATCGCTAATCTTTCGAAATATATTTGTTAATAAATCAAAGACCTTTTAAAGAAATAATTTTCATTTGAGAGGCCTATGTTCTAATTATAATTCAAAAGTTTTAATCAGATCACTTCTGCTTTATGTAATGAATATTATTTAATTTTTTATAAACTTTTTCGTTTAATTTATTTATTACTCAGAATTACAATTATTTGCAATAATATATCCGAGCGGCAGCAGTTTGAGAGCAGTGAAAGCAACCCTTCCGCGAGTTTTTATTTAATAACATATAAAAAATAGAGATATTTATAACTTTGTATTTAATTTAGCTTTAAAATTTTTTTCAATATTATTTTTTTTCTTTATAATTTTAAAGTCCATTTTGAATTTTTTTAATTAACAAGTTTTTTGTTTATATTTCAACAAATAAATTTATTCTATTTTTCTATTTTTGTATCTATCTCTTTATATGTAAAAGCTATTTATATTTTCTCTTTTACTTAAAAAATATTCTTTTTCTACAAAATACTACAGCTAAAATTTTAAAAATTCTTTTTACATTTATTTTAAAATTTGTACTAAGTCTTACTTAAGGTTAAATATATTATTTTATCCTACATAATTTTCGAAATTTTTTTTTTATTAATTTTTTTATTTTTTCTTTTACATTTTAACGTATTATTCCGCTTCAGTTTTTTTTTAGCAATTTTCTCTGCATAATTTTAATTGCATATTTGCATGCGCAAACAATTTTCCAAATCAAAAATCGATAATTCTGCAAACTTCCACGAACACTAAGCTTTGCACAAACGCTTACTAAATATTTTATCGCCACCCTCAATTAACATATACACTCACACACACGCACACACACAGCAAGAGAAGCACAATTGAGAAAATGTGTCTAATCCTTAATTTTCTAAATTACTTCTTTTCCAAAGGCAATTCGTATGTAAATATGTACAAACATATATATTTTCAACTTTGTAGTTGTTGTTGTTGTTGTTACATTGTTTTTGTTTTTGTTACAATTTAATAGCATACATTGTGGTCTTGCTGTAGCAGGTGTTGACAACATGCTGAGGGGGTGGGGTTCGGTGGTGGTCGACCACATACTGTTTGACTTGTCCAAGACCAGAGCTTGTCTGCATACATACTTTGCTGAATTTTAAATGCATAATGCATAAATACATATATGCATGCACGAGTATATTATATACACATATCTATAAATTATATACGAATAAACTAATGACCAAATGCAAAAACAACAACAACAACAACAATTTTAGTTAGTCTGAGAGACGAATACAAGAATGCAGCAATTTTCTTGTGAGCGCCAGTGGAAACACCTTTAAATGTGTAGGACACACATACATTTGTTCGCTTGCATTTAAGTATATACGAGTATGTGTGAAGGAAAGTCAGTGTGCATGCATTCCGAGTTAATGCAACCGCACTGCCTATGCATTTTGATAATTTAGCTTGGATTGCCGCTCCCTATAACCGCACTGTCGTCCTTACAAGCTCACTTCTGCAACCAAGTCCTCAAAACCTTGTGTGTGTATGTGTGACACCACCCACTTTTGTATGTAAACCTTTCTTCGTCTTGTTCGTCTTATTTGTCTTCAACTTCTTCTTCGTCATTGGCACTTTTGTTGTTTTGTCTGCTCATAATTTCGCATTATCCTTAGCCAAGCACTCCGCACTCGGCCATCAGTTAAACGTTGAGCACTGTGGGCTCTACGCCCACCCTTTCATTCGTCCTAACGTTCTTGCCATCGTCCGTCTGTCTGTTTGGCGCTCTGTCGCTTGCATTTCTTGCAGTTTGCTGACGCAACGCCATTTTCGACAGCGACGGCAGCTTCGCTGTTAACGTCGAAGTTTTCCATATGTCCACTCTTCGTAGAGGACTGACCAGCACGTGCGCCGGTCGGGTCGGTCACTCGCTCGAGTGGCGCTGAGTTTGGTCTTCACTGACTATATTATTGGTCACCATACCCTTTCTCATCGGTTTTTCCCTGCATTTAGGAGCTGACTCTTCGCTACTACCCATTCGTTGCTTTAATTCTTTGTCGATGTCATTGCCGAATCGCATGTTGTTGTTGTTGTTGTTGTCATTGTAACAGCTCGTTCGTTATATTGGGCTTCCACTTGCTGGCGCACGTCCTGGCGACTCTGTCTGCTGCTCAGCCCAAAGGACCTGAATGGCGTTGACATGAACATAATTTTGTCTGTTCTATTGTTTGAGGGAGGTGATAATGCTTTTGTTGTTATTAAGTATGGTTATGTATGTTTGTAAGCATGTTTAATTTCCTGACGTACACGTTTGTTCGAGCTTCATTGCTATTTACTGAACAAAACAAGTTCAAATTAATAAATGCAGTTTCTACATCGAGACTATAATAGCGATGGGGGAGTTGAGTTCTCCCTACACCGCAGACGTGGAGAAGCGTACTTTGAGGGCCAACTCAAGGTGGACTGTACTTTCTAAAACGGTTACAGAGCATCAATAAAGTTCTTCCTTATGGTCAAACAACTCTCGAGTTTTAAGTTACAAAATTCACTCATAAAGTACTCATGGAATAGTTATTTAAATGAAAGAAGATAGAACAGGATTAAAGGTAAGTTCCACAAGTATTTTACGCCCACTCGAATCCAAAACTACAAGGCCATCGCGAGTAACTTGACAGGCTGAACCACAACTTTTGGGAAATTGTCAAGACCAACGCAGAATGTGAAGAAGAAAAAAGTACCTGCTGGCTTCTATAACCGACCTCAATCTCACTACGTAGACAGCAGAGTCACATGAATTTTCCTGTAGTAAATGCCACTCAAATACACAAAACTCCTTAGGCTCCTTAAAAAATATGTTCCAAATGAGGAGTCTCATTTTCTAATTAAATCGTAAAATAATTAAAATGAATAATTTTCCCAATGAAATTGGAAAGTTTTTTCAACTATATTCTCCAACAAAATGAGCAGCAACAGTGCCGTTATCATACAAAAACTTCATATTCTAATTGCGATTTTGTGTAAAGTGATGATGAATATGAGCAGGTGGCCGAGGAGGAGACA